GTTTGGTAATTTTTTATTTGTTAATATATATGTTTTATAAGACCTAATCCTGAATCAAGTCGAGAAATAAGTACAGTAAAATATTTGTTAATTTTAACCAAATATTAACCAGATTTTATGTTAATCCAGGTCTACATAACTTTATATTAAGTTTACAACCAACTGTAATCTGTTAACTAATTGAATAAGTAGTTTGTAATTATATTAATTAATAATATTAAACATTTTTAAATTTAATAACAAAATACTATATCAATAATTCAACCATAATTCTAGTAATTTTTAAAAAGGACCTTATTTTTACAAACCTTTTTGTAGACCCAGTAACAAAAGTATTTGTTGAAAATTGGGAACTTTTAATAAAAATAATTTTAATAAGAAATGTTGCTTTATAAATAAATTTCCTAAACAAAATAATTAACACATACCTACATATAATACATAATAAACACACAAAAAACATACTAGTACAGTCATCTTAGTCAAAAAAAGGGATCAACCTCGAAATCTAACGGAATAAGCTGAATTTTTGTGAAAACCTTTATTTTAGCATTACAAATGTTGTCTCAAAAGTCACATATGCCAACGTGTGAGCGACCTTAGATATTCAAGGTCAAAGGTCGCAAAAATCAGTTTTTTGATAATATCTCGTTTTGTCTGCCTCCTATCGTATTTGCATTTATTATAAAAGTTGTAGAGTATAAAATTCTCTACAAATTTTGTTTTAAAAAAATTTTATACGTTGAACCGTTTTTGAGATAGAGGGCGCAGAGTGTGGAGCGCTCAGCCATACGTACTTTAGCGCAAGGTAAATCGGGAATCCCAATCTATTATACCGTTTTTTTTAATTAATTATATAATAAATATTACTAAAATAAAAATTTAATACCTTATACTTATATTTATATTTCTTTTAAATCAAATATATTTTATCTTCATATATATCTTATATTTTAATTTAATTTTAATGAAGGGTAATTGGATCGGAGTAGGAAAAAATGTTTTTATTTATATCAATATTATTATTATTATTATTAATATTATTTATCTTTATCTTCTTCATCCTCGTCTTCTTCAGGTTGGCCAGCAATTTCAGACTCATTATCATCATCACTCTCCTCGTTATCATTGACATTAATTGTCATATCTTCAAAAACTTACTTATAACGCGTTTGTACTTTGCTGATTTTTTTGCCTTTGTTGCCTCATTTGCGACTTCACCACAAAATAAGCACAATATTTTAAAATCAAACACATCATTCCCTTTTTTACGAGGTACAGTTGATGACGTTGAAGGTCCAGTCTCTTCAAGGCGACGTTTTGCTGCTGCAATTTTACTATAGTACCTACGCTATAGCGTACAATTTTCGACACTCAATATGAACGTTCACAGAAGTCAAAGTATTTAGTAGTTTATGTTTATGTTTCTTTCTTCTTTTAAAGTCTTTATACCGCGCACAAAAGTCACAGAATCACCTTCAGAAAGTAACTTATTACAAATAAAACACAAATCAGCCATGTTAACCTTTAAAGTATTACGAATATTACCTGTCACAACCCTAGACCTAGGTATACCTAGGGTCACACCTTGCTTTAAATATAGGTATACCTAACCTTTTTATTTATAGCAAGCCCACTATAGTATTTCCAGGTCTGTTATTTTAAAAGCAATATCTGGATCCAAGAGATGACCAGAGACATATTCATTGAATATTGAATTGAATATTATTCAAGGCAAATTCATTTAATGTCTTTTCTTCTTAAAATGCATTTATCATTAATTAGAATAATATTAGAATATATTTAAAATGATTCACTTCGTTATTTAATTATTTTTTTGTCAAAAGTAAATAATATTTAATGACTATTTGTTTTAAAAAAATATATAAAAATAAATATAAGGTAATAAATTGTTATTTAAGTAATATTTAATATATAATTAATTAAAAAAACGGTATAATGGATTGGGATTCATGATTTAAATCATGAATCCCAATCTATTATACGTACCTTTAGCACAAGGTAATTACCTTGTGCTAAAGGTACGTATGGCTGAGCGCTCCACACTCTGCGCCCTCTATCTCAAAAACTATTAGACGTATAAAAAAATTTTGTAAACAAAATTTGTAGAGAATTTTATTCTCTACAACTTGTATAATAAATGCAAAAATGATAGGAGGCAGAGAAAAGGAGATATTCTCAAAAAATTGATTTTTGCGACCTTTGACCTTGAATATCTAAGGCCGCTCACACGTTGGCATATGTGACTTTTGAGACAACATTTGCAATGCTAAAATAAAGGTTTGTACAAAAATTCAGCTTATTCCGTTAGATTCCGAGGTGAAATGCCTAGATGACTGGACTATACACACAATTAAGAAAAACCATTGTAAAATCATCAAATTATAAAAAAATTTGGTACAATATAATTATCAGTACTACTACAACACTGATATATTTCATCTTTAACCCACTTCACTGTATCCTCTAATTTCAGTTTGAAAACCAGTGATGGCATATTTTTTCTGAAACTTCGCACACTCGTTTAATAGGTATAAGGAATCCAAATAACAATAATAACAGATTACTGCTAATATATTATAAACAGTTGTTACGAACACGTTACGAATTAGAATAAAGTAAGCAGAAACATAATCAGACCCTAAAGTCAGTTGAACTTGTTGTTGCGTATTGTCAGTGGGAAATGTTTTGATTGACTGCCTAAACCACGTATACTTTTTTAACGAAATAATTTGTTTTAATATTAACAAAATTATCTGTAACTTTGAAATTAACAAAATGCTTACAAAATTGCATATTACCTTTACAAAAATTTCGGTAAAATATTTTCCTTTGTAAAAATAATTACAAATCCTGGTTTTCTACAAAAAATTATGTTAAAATTTTACAAAATTAAACTAACAAACTACAAATTTATGTTAACAAATCTGATTTTTATAACAGTGTAGTGAACGGTGATCGTGTGTGAAGTTTTCCGGGTGATTCGACGCGTATGGGTTCAGTGCACACATGTGTGAATATCCATAACTGGAATAATTCGCCTATACTTTAATCTTTACCGAATGTGATTTCCTGTTCTGGGAATTTCAAGTTGTAGTGATGCGCGTCTTATGCTTATTTCAGGATTTTCTTCAATTAAAATTCAATATATTTTCTTCTTGTTGGGGTGTTAACCAACGACATCCTCCTACATTTGGCCTTCTTAAAATTACAGAACCCGTCTCCATAATTTGCCGGTGCACACGCGAAAACATCGAATGATATGGAAGTATTAGTTGGGGAAATTGGCCAGCGTATAGTCTACGCGCGAGACGTGAATTTCCATGGGCCTTTCCGTAAATCAGGTGCATTTGGACTTTTTCTCGAATGGAAAATCTCACCATTTTTTTCGAGAGAAACAGAAAATATGATAATCTGACAACTGATTAATGATAACTGCCAAAAAATTAATTTGTTTGTTACTTGTGAACGCCAGCCACCTACGATTAACACGTAAGAATTTCATACAAATGTCGATATGCATTTGATCACGTTTTGCCATTTTTCTCGAAAACAAAATTTTAAAAGACAAAATATACTTCCTTACGGGTTAATATTAAACAAAAAAAATACGCAACCAAAGTTTTGTGGCACCAAAGACAAGGGGGTCTACGAAAAAGCGTCTCAAGGGGGTCCCCAGCCAAAAACCTTAACACTTTCAGATTCCAAATATCACTATCTGGCTCCAAATTCGTAATTTATTCTTCAATTGTTACAAAGTTTGTGGTTTGTTGTGGTAAACTCGAGATTTTAAAAAGCCCCACAGGAAGAAGTCTGGAGCCGTCAGATCTGGCGATCTGGCCGGCCAGTTTAAATCCCCAAAACGGAAGATCACACGGCGCGGAAATTGGTGTGTCAAAATCTCCATCGCTGCCCGAGCTGTGTGAGCGGTTGCTCCGTCCTGCTGGAACCAACAATACTCGAGACCCAATTTAGCAACTTGCGGGAAAAAAATTCGTTTAACATCTGTCTGTCACGCTCACTAGTAACGATTACGGCAGTGCCGTTGGCGTCCTCAAAAAAATCAGGGCCGATAACTTTTTCACTGCAAATGCCGCACCAAACAGTCAGTTTGAGGGGATGCAATGGCTCTTCGTGCATTTCATGTGGATTTTCTGTGACCCAGAAACACAAATTTTGTTTGTTCACATAACCACTTACTTAAGTAAAAATGGGCTTTGTCGCTCATTAGAATTTTTTGCGAACCACAATTCAAAATTCCGTAAAACGAGCACAAATGTGCATCAACTCAGGAGGTGGTCATTTGACCAATATCATTTTTTCAACTTTCAACAGAGCCCAATTTATTTTATTTGGAACAAAATGGCAGCAAATTTACATTAAGACATTACTTTTGCCCCACCTTGTATATTATTTTTTTTAAATAATTAAGTATATAAAAAAATCGCTACATAGGTTGCAGAAAGGAATAACAGAAAAAAACCTATTTTTGTTATATTAATAAAAAATTAAAAAACTTAGTGAACCTTTTAAAATTGAAACGAAAAGCTGGGATTTTAACTAAATTTTTATTTACGTACCTACAAACGGATACATGAAAATTAAGCTTTAAGAAATTAATATCGTTTGATGAGACTCTTATTTTTTAAGCCTATGCGAATAGGTTTACCAAGTAATGTTTTTTTTATTTTAATTTTTTCCTTTTAAATTTTACTATGACTGATGGGTGGCGTTAGTATGGCATTTTAGGAACCCAACCCTGTATTTTTTTAAATTTTAAATATAAAGAAAAAACTTTAATATGTTCGCTTAAGTGTAAATATTAATTGAATCAAGCTTATTTTAGAGTAAAACATTTAAAATACTTTTAAGAATTAAATATATCAAAATTTGTTTCTTGTCCCCTTCCAAATAATCCCCGATCCGCCACTGCTACTATGCAGGTTGTGCTTGTTATGCAGTAATTCTGCCATATTATAGTTTTATTGACTGTATTAAGCAGTAGTATCTAGTAGGTAGTTGTGGCATTCGACGTCTCACTACTTACTTTGTTCCGCGAACGGTAACTGAACGATATCAGTGGTGTACTAATGAACTAAGGTACAACGCACATGCAATTTGTTTAACATGTGATGTGATGCATATGTGGTTTTTAAACACGTCCGATTGTCTTGTTTTCGGTTTTAATATCAGTTCGTCATGTTTCCCTTAATTAATTGGATTATCGATCAATTCGGTACGTAAATATTCCTTGTGGTTTAATAAACGTGTTTATAGATACTATAAACTCAAAGTTTATTAAATTAAAATTTATATAGAAAAATCATTGCAAATTACTTTCTTAAAATTATTTTTTTAAAACAATTTTTATGCAACAATTATTGTTATTAAACTATTATTATAATATCATAAGTTTAACACAAATAATGAAAATGTATAAAAAATATATTTAACTAAAACACTATATTAGTATACAAATAATAATAATATCTCAATACCAAAATATTAGTTTTTTTAAAGCGTATAACTATGTTCATAAATATTTTTTCTACAAGCGTGCGAAAAGTTTTCGCGCTCAATTACTTTCTACATTTGAGCGAAGACACTTCTCAACTGCATGGCATACGACATTTTATCTTCAAGGCATAATTTTATTTGTTAAACTATACATAAAACGTACAATTATAATGATAATTATTTAAAGTAGAAAGTGAGCTTGGATGGAACTGACAGTAGTCAAATTTTTTAATTGGTTAGAACGGGTTTTTTACAGTTTAGGAGGTTAAAAACTTATATTTTCAAGCGTTCTATAATTTAAACTTTATTATGGTCAACACGTATGCGGATGAGAAGTGTATTTTTGCGCTTCGCTTAAAAAACGTTGAGTATAGCACAAAAAGACTCACTTATGACATAAATAACTTTTTTACTTTCAACTTTAAAACGCCCATAAGCACACATAAAGCACAAAAAGACTCACTTATGACATAAATAACTTTTTTACTTCCAACTTTAAAACGCCCATTATCGTATATGTTTCCATGACACTAAGTGACCTTTTAAATATACATTGACAAGTTGTGGCTTTAAGGTCTTTTAGTCACGGGCTAAAGCTAGCAACAGGTTTATACTTACTGTTTAAAGTTAGTTTTAAGTTAGTTGGCAGTTGTAAAATGTCATACAATCGTTAAAATAAAGTGCCCTTCTTTAAAATAATACTAAATGTAAAAAATATTTTATTATTTTAATACAAAAATACAATAGTATTAAATAGTTTCTTAACGCCAATATTTGAAAAGTTTTTATGAACATTGTACTGACCTTTTAATTTCACCGGCAGTAAACTAGATTTAACTTAATTTCACCATAAAATATTTTCTTTGCTTTTACTGTGAAAAATTGCTTTTATAATAATAATAATAATCATTTATTAGCATAAGGTGTGTACATTACAAAAAATGTAATATTTAATGTCATATCAATGTCCAAATTTTTCAAAAGTTTTCCTTATGGTCGGAATAACGGTTAATTTTTAAGAGATACATTTCGATTTACACATAAAAATTTGACATTTTCACCGGCAGCGCAGTAATACAGATTCCCAAGTTGGTTACTCCTATGTTTTATAGATGTCGCTTGCTACAAATATTTAATTTAAATCATTTTTAGATAATCATAAGTATTTGCCGTAGAAAAAGTATAGTATGCAACTCGTTTATAAACTTTTCTAGATACTCATTTAATTAAACACTCAAAGTTGTCAGTAGTTTTTTTATTTTTTTACAGACTAGGATGTAAAAAACATCACCTAATTGGTCTAAATTATTTTTAAAGCCTAGGACATAATAGAATACTTTGGTAGTAAGCGTTGACAATAATAAAGCTAAACTTATAGCATGCTTAAAGATAAATTATTTTTTTTATTCGTCGTAGATAAAGTATGCAACCCGATTAAAAACTTCTCTGGACACTCGTTTTTATTAAACACTCGCTCGTAAGCTTCGCTCGTGCCTTTATAAAACTTGATACATAATATACTATTTTGTGAACGTCATAGATAAAACCGCATGAACGCATCAACAAAAACTCAAATTATTATTTTAATGAGCATATTAATCTCCTTTGAAAAGTCTTCTACTTGGTTATGAATGGTCCCGTGATAGTTAAAAATTCATCAAATGTACTAATTGACATGCGATAATATTGAAAAAATGTTTCTTTATAATCGTATAATAAAACGTATAATACTATATTATGTATCAAGTTTGATAAACGCCATTTTATACTCGAATTTAATTTAGGCAAGAGCGAGCTTGCGAGCGAGTGCTTAAATTAGTGAGTGTATAAAATGGCGTTTATCAAACTTGATACATAATATACTTTTTTACGACAAATACTTATTAGTATCTTTTTATTAATTTTAAATTAATTGAACAAATTTGAATATTTTTATGAAAAAGGTTAAAAATCCGATTTAAAAGAGATGCGTTCAAAAAAATGTCAAAATATTTTCTTCTTTTCCTACGATTGAATAAGTGGCGGCTGGTGGATTTTGGGAACACCCATATCTCAGTTTTTAGACATGGGACCCACATCAAATTTATATGAGTTTATAATGACATTATATAGACAAGTTCGGCGCAAGCAGAATTTAAATTGAAGTTTGCGAAAAAAAGTTAGTTTTTAAGTGCACCCCCAAATTAAGATAATTTAAATTAAAGTGGTACAATATTTAATTCACTGAAGTTTATCGACAAATTTCAAATTTTATTAAAAAAATTCATGTATTACAGATTTTATACCATTTCTATTTTTTTTTTAATTTAGTAAAAGAAATAATAAAAATTTTAAATGTTATAAAACCTGTAATTCTTGTATTTTTTTAATAAAATTTTAAATTTGTCGATAAACAGTAAGTTATCTTAATTTGGAGGGGGCAGGAGGCTGGGGGGAAAACTTAAAATCTAACTTTTTTTCGCAAACTTCAAAATTGAAATTTTTAAATTTTGCTTGCGCAGAACTTGTCTATATAAATCATTATAAATTGATATAAATTTAATGTGGGTCCCATGTCTAATAACTGAGATATGGGTGTGCCTAAAATCCACCAGCCGCCATGAATTTATTAAAAAAACATTAATTAGATACTCCCAAACCGTACCTTACTGCTAGGAATTATAAGTCGAACAATGAGTGACCTGGTATTTGATTATTTTTTTTAGGATCTAAAGAAATCAGCTGTACCTCCCTTTCCTCCTAGGCAAAGCCCTTGTATACCGTATACTATTTTTTCTTAGCATAGGCCTATGTATTACACTATTAAACTATTAAATTAAATCTGTGCTTAATAATAAAAGTTAATGAAAACAAATTAAATAGGAAAATTCGATTAAACAATACTACTGTTATTACCCAATTAAATTGCATTTTTTAAATAAATGTTTACCTTAATGTTGTATAAGAAGCAAAAAAGCGTGGTATTATAATTTGATTATAAAATACTGATTTTAATTAAATATATAATAATACAAAATGAACAAAGTTGCAATTTCTTTAATAACGTTAATTAATGGACCAAATATTTTATGTCATTAAATTATATAACAGAAAAGCTAGAGCCAATAATAAGTTTTTTATGCACAGAAGATAGTACGCAGGATAAAAAAACATTAAGAAAACAATTGGAATTTAAAAAAGGATTTGGTCAGGTCAATAAAATCACCACTTTGAGCTCAGTGCAATCTCAATCCTAATGACACAAATAACTATTATTATTAATACCTTGTAAATTTTTTCATGGATTACCAATTAGACTAATTACCCACCTGAAAGTTTATCTAAAGCATGAAAAACTCAGATCGTCGAATAAAAATGTTTGCACTGCAGACGTAAAATTGTACTTTTAGAATTAGAATAGTATAAAATAAACTGCTTATTTTTTATCAATATAATGGTTTTTATAAACAATCCCTAATAATAGTGTCCGACATATTTTTTTCTGTTAGATGCAGGATAAAGAACAACTATTCTGGGCTCGCTAAATTCAAAAATACCCATTATTTTGTTCAATCAGCTCTTGTTTTCGAGATATTGCCTAATAACTTTATGTTAGATACCTATAAGCATTGTTATTCGTATATACAAGGTGTCCCTAAACTTATTGGCATAAATTTAGGTAAACATTAAGCAAGTCAAAATAAGACGAAAACCTAAATAAATATTTTTCCTAATTACTTATGTTTCCAAGATACAGGGTGATAAAGTGTTACTTACCATATCAGTTTTTTTAATATAACTTCTACTATGGTAGTCTTGGAAAGGTAATATTTTGCGAACAGTCACTTACTACCAAAACACATATTCACACATAATTTCAATAGTTTGAGTGAACACAGTGTCGTAGAAACGGGGGTTGCTTTAAGCTTATTGTCCCATAAAAACTTCGGGGTTAGGTTTTTATAACATTTGATGCAATTTTTCGATCACTCAGTTCGGCTACTATTAAAAAGGTGTACCTCTTAAACTTCGATAAAATAAACCGTTTCCGAGATATTCGAGATTCCTCTAATTGTTATATCGCATTATTTAAAAGGATTAAAAGGTATATGATAACAAATTTTATTTTTTAATTGAAAAAACTAACTAAACTATGAGCCTCGGGATTTTTTGCCCTGGCCGTCACATTAAAAAAAAATGTAGTTTTTTCAATTAAAAAATTTGTTATCATATACCTTTTAGTCCTTTAATGCGATGTAACAATTATTGTTATCTCGAATATCTCGGGAACGGTTTGAGAGGTACACCTTTTTATTAGTAGCCGAACTGAGTAATTCAAAAATTGCATCAAATAGTATAAAAACCTAACCTCAAAGTTTATATGGGACAAAAAGCTTCAGCAACCCTTGTTTCTACGACACTGCCCTCACTCGAACAATTGTAATTATGTGTGAATATGTGTTCTGGTAGTAAGTGACTGTTCGCAAAATATCACCTTTCCAAGACTACCATAGTAGAAGTTATATTAAAAAAACTGATATGATAAGTAACAATTTATTATTTTGACTTGCTTAATCTGCTCCTAAATTTATGCCACTAAGTTTAGGGACACCTTGTATATTTGAATCAAATATTTTAACCGAGGATCAAATTTACCTATGGGTCCTAATTAAACACTTTTTGGCCAAAATTCGACAATTGTTAAAATGCGAATAATAATAATAATAATAATAGATCAGG